CTTTAAAGGGGGCCGGGGAGATGGCTCAGTGGAATAAGCGCTTCCCTGGCAAGCGCAAGGGCCTGAGTTCAATCCCTGGTTCCACAAAAAAAAGAAGAAGAAAAAAAAAAAAAAGACTGCTTTAAAGGCCCGGACAAATAGATGCAGGGGCCAGGAGTTCGTTCCCTTAGCCTGCTGTGCTGGCCCCGCCCCTGGGGCACACTGAGATAGCATTTGAGACGGGTATGGTGGTATTCTATAATCTCAGCAATTGGGAGGCTGTAAACAGGAGGATCACTACAAAGTCCCTAGGCAGTAAGACCCTGTACACCCTATCCTAAATATATATTAAAAAAAAGACTGCTTTAAGTATTTCCTGTTTTACAGGTTTTTAGGTTGGTGTTTTAGAGACAATAAACCACCAAGTGTCTTATTGTACACAGGCAGAATAGCATCCTGCTTTGCTTCATTTGTAAGTAGGATGTGAATTCCAGTAGCTGTAAAGAAAAAAGTGTTAACTTTATTTCCTTTCAACTTGGTAGGTTTGAGAAATTTCTGTGGTTCATTAGCTCAGAGAACTATCTAATTATAGGCGGACGAGATCAACAGCAGAATGAAATAATAGTGAAAAGATATTTAACACCAGGTAGGTAAGATTACACTTCTAAAACTTTTTTTTTTTTTTTTTTTTTTGAACTGGGGATTGAACTCAGGGCCTTGTGCTTGCCAGGCAAGTGCTTATTCTATTGAGCTATCTCCCCAGCCCCTTAAAACAATTTTTTTATTAGTAGAGATTGAACCCAGGCCTTTATGCATGTGAGGCAAAGCTCTTCTGAGTCATGTCCCCAGGCCATTTTCAAACGAGACAGTATCTTGCTAAGTTGTCTCAGCTGTCCTCAAACTTGGAGTCCCGCTTCCTCAGCTCCCTGGGTAATAGGTATTATTGTGTGCCACCACACTTGGCTTTAAAACATTTTCTTTTAATTGATCAGATCATTTATCTCATTATTAGATACTGATTCTTACATGCATGCCTGTTGCTGCAGCATGTGAGAAAAAAATACTTAAAAATTTTTTTTATTTGTCTTTAAGGAGATATTTATGTACATGCCGATCTTCATGGAGCTACTAGCTGTGTAATTAAGAATCCAACAGGTAATGTATTTCTGTTATTCAGAATTTGCTTTCCTTAAAATACTTTTAGAATAACTCTAAGGATTAATAAAAAAAAAGGATATAATGATAAATGGTAATTCTATGAATAAGAAATAGCAATCGTAAACAAAAAATAAATCTCTCTTAGAAATAGCAGTTGCAGTAGTCCCTTGCTATTTCGCGGTACAACTTTCATAGACTTTTCTGTTTTGCAGGTTTTCAAAAAATATTAATCTAACTTATTTATCGCAAGGGCCAGCAAGATAACTCAGTGGACTAAGCACCTGCTTAGGCAAGCAGAGCGACCAGGGCTTAATCCCCGGCACATGTGCCTTGCTGGCCTCACCCCAGGGCACACTCAGCTGGCCACCGAGACTGATCCTAGTGGCACACACCTGTAATACCAGCGCTGGGGAGGCTGAAAACATGAGGATCACTAGGAGTCCTAGCTGCGTAGCGAGACCCTGTACAAAATGAATTAAATAAATAAATTATTGCAGATTTTTCGCCGTATTGCAGGATTTTGCAGTACCATACAGTGTAGGTATGTTGTTAAAATTGTGTAGGTTTATGAGTTTAGAAAATAGTTAACAGAAGTGTTTTTAAAAGTGTGGGAAAGGTTTATAAGAGTGTGGGGTTTATAAAACCTTAAAATATATATAAAAACTAAAATAAATATAACATCACTACACTGATTTTCACTTATCGTGGGGGTGTTTGGAATATAACCTCCACAATAAGTGAGGGACCACTGTATAAACCTATATGCATCCAGGAATAGAGCTCTACAATATGTGAAGCAAAACTAGACAGTACTGAGGGAGAAATAGACAAGTCTATGATGCTGTTTGGAAATTTAAGCATTCAGCTTTTACAGTCATGAATAGGATAATTAGACATAAGATCACCAAGGAAATAGACCTCAGCAATGCTACAAACTAAATCAAACCAACATCTCAAATTCTTAACCCTAACCCTAACCGTGACCCTAACACTAACCCTACCTATAGAAATGAAATGATGGACACACTCATAAACGATGCCTCAAGGAAGAGATTACAAAGCATATCAGAAAATATTCTGAGACAAATAAAAGGAAAACAGTATATCAGAACTTAGGATAGCATTGCTTTGAGTAAGATTTCTAACAATAAATGTCTATTTTTTTTTTAATATCTGATAAAAGAGGAACCTTCTCAAATCAATAACTTCGCATCTTATAAACTAGAAAAGGAGATCCCAAGCTAGGAAAAGAAAATAATAGATATTAGAATAAAAGTAAATGAAACAAATAGGAATAGACAGAATCAACAAAACAAAACAGGATTCTTTGAAAAGATTAATAAACCTTTATTTTGTTTGGTTAGATCTTTTTGTTTTTCTAAATTATATTTTCTAGAATGGCGTTAAAATTATTGATAAATGAGAAGATGGATTTGTTTTGTTTATGTAGGACATTTAAGAGCCTGGCATGTACATATATTTGAATACAATAGTAACTTTATGATACTGAAAAGGTGGTATGAATATTTTAAGATACAAGAAGATTGAATCTTTATGCTACAGAAGGCTTTCACCTCCTGCTTTCTGGGAAGTTTGCGCTTGAATGTTGAAATGTAGCATTGTTATAGGAGAACCCCTCCCTCCGCGGACACTGACTGAGGCTGGCACCATGGCGCTTTGCTACAGTGCTGCCTGGGATGCTCGAGTTATCACTAGTGCGTGGTGGGTGTACCATCATCAGGTAATGAAGGCTGTGGGCCTTTTTCTTTATTAAAAGCTGAGCTGGGCACCAAATTTGGAGGGTACAAAAGTAAATTAGTCAAAAAACCTACCATGATAGACTTACACTCGGGTGGTACGTATATATCAGATAGCAAGAAAAAAAATTAAAGCACGTATTGGATTGAGTGCTTTAAATTCTAAATATAGCATCAGAGGAGGCCCATCTGGGTAAGATTTGAAGAAAAACCTAAATGAAAAGAGTAATCATGTAGTTACACAGAATAAAGGATGTTCCATTTATGACGGCATTTTGGCCTAAAATATCTTGCTCTGATTCATTTTTGTTGGAATTTCTCTTTGTACTTCCAGAAAAGCAAGTATGTCCTATGCTTTCATGTTTCCTTCGTTTTAGTAATTTTAGTTTTTGTTTTTTAATGTATTTGGTACAGGGTCTCACTACACAGCTCGGACTCGTAGTGATCCTCCTGTTTTCAGCCTCCCCAGCTCTGGGATTACAGTCGTGCACCACCACACCCAGTCCGGTTTTAGCTATGCCCATTGTGGTTAATACTGTTTTATTTGATGATGCTTCGAGGATTTCTTACTTGACTTCACATTGCTACTCATATTTCCAAGAATTAAAGTTGATAAAAGATACACTTTTGCAAGGTCCTAAAACTTTATGATAGGGTAATTAGTTCAATTCCATTGTCTCCCTCAGATTTAGTTATATTCTGCTATAGCTATTGGCATTTATTACCTGCTATATTTTTTAAAATATTTTATTTATTTGGTACAGGGTCTCACTATGCAGCTCAGACTAATAGTGATTCTCCTGTCACAGCCTCTCTAGCGCTGGGATTATAGGGGTATGCCACCACACCTGGTTTCAGTTTTGGTGGCTGGCTCAGTGCGGGGCCAGCACAGCATGTGGTACCAGGGAGCCAAATCAGGCCCTGTGTGTACCAGGCAGGCACTTAAATCACTGAGCTATCTCCATGGTCCCTACTATATTTTTTTTAGGAAATTGATGATTTTATATATTTATATATATTTTGCAATATATATTTGCAATATAGATATCTTTTTTTAAACCACAGCAGTATTATAAAAGTGGTTCTGAGCCTTTTGAGTTTAAAATGATGTTTTAATAGTTTTATGACAAAGATAAGGTTGGGTTTGACTACTTTGAAGATTCATATAAATATCTTAAAATTGTAGCATAAGTTCATTCTGTTTGTTCTGATAGATGCAGACACATATACACACTTTTTTGTTTTGACAGTCTCACTTTATTGGCCCAGCAGTTTTGCAGTTCTGTGCCTCCCAAGTAGCTGGGATTACAAATGTGCACTCCCAATTTAGAATATGAATGACCAGTGTTTTTAGGTTGTTTTAAAAACCTACTCTTATCATTGTTTCTTGAGATGAAAAGCTGTTTTATTACTAAAAATTTTTTTTCTTAAAAGGGTTTAATAGGGGGCCTGCCCTTAGCTCAGCAGTTTAAGCGCCTGCTCATGCAAAGGCAGTCAGGAGCAGGATACCATGGTTCGATCCCCAGCTAGCCCTGCCCTTCAGGCAGCCTGAGCTGCCAAAAAAAAAAGACCTTTTAGAGGGTTTAATAAGTACAATTTTATTTCAGTTATTGTAACTTTGTGATATGCTTACTAAGTTATCTTTACTTTTCTCCTTATATCCCATAGTGGAAGGAAGGAGTAAAGTAGTTTGAAAATGATTTATTTTGTAGCCCCTTAGTTCTTTGTGATTCCCAAGGTGTATCACGTAAGAGTAACTGTCCTTTGGTGTTGAGAAGTTTGGGTAAATTCTGCTATTTAGGACATTGTGTTGCTCTCTTGAATATGCGTACTTTCTCTTGAGTGCAAAAAATGGTATTTCTTTAGATAAGAAATGTAATATATCACTGTGTGCCTTTCTTAGGTTTCTAAAACAGCACCAACTGGAGAGTATTTGACAACTGGAAGCTTCATGATAAGAGGTAATGATTGAGTTGAAAATTTTCCCTGACTTGCCAGTGGATTATGGAGATAGATTTGAGAACTATCGACAAGTATTTCCAGAGATTGATTGCATGTATGAACTCTTTTAAGAGCTAAGCAGAGTTTTGCCTTCATGTGGCAAATTTTAGCATTTGTCATGTCATCATCTGTATTTTTGTTGATGAGAATGCACTTTCACAGTTTAGTTACAAAGATGAGAAAATATAGCCTGACCTTTTTTTAAGTTATTATTATTATATCAAAAGACAACTTTAGACAGGAACCTCTCAGACAGGACACAGAAGGTAGGTGGCAGTTATTAAAATACACTCTTGACAAATGATTGAATATTAAAATACAACAGGCAGTGAAAGAACGTTGATGGTCTCCCCTCCTCTCCCCCAAACTCACACTCCCACCCTCCTCCCTTCCATCAAGAGGGAAGGGAAAGAAGTGCCTGCCTTCATTCCTTTTCTCTTGGGACCCAGGCCCCTCACACCGGCTCATGTGTCAGTGTCTGGTCGTGGGAAAGGAACACCAGGTGAGTCCAAGAGAGGCCAAGCCCACAGTGCCCAGGAAAAAGGGACCTTGACAGGTGTCTGATCCAGGGGGTAGGACAACCCCCTTCCTACCTGCTTCTGTCCCCAAGAGAGCTCTTATGCAGCAAGCAAGCTCTGACCAGGCTCCAGGGCCTGGGTGGCACCATCCAAGGGTGGCTTCCATGGGGATGACATGCTGTTGGAGCACCTTGGGCACAGCAAGGCATAAAGAGGTGGTTGCAACCTGGTAACTCCTAGGCCTGCTATTGCTGTTGCAGGATGGTTTCAGGGCTGGGCCTGGGTGGGGTTGGGGGTTGCTAGGTCTACAAGCTCTGGCACCTCCTGTTGCCCACTGGCTAGGCTTACCCACCTGCACAGTTTCCAGGAAGTTGCCAACAAAGGCTGACAGCCAATTTTGGCAGTATAGCCCTGACCCCTTTGATCCTTTTTTTTTTTTTTTTTTGGTATTGGGACTTGAACTCAAGGCCTAGCACTTGCCAGACAGGTGCTTGTGCCACTGAGCTATATCCTTGGCCCACCGCTTTGATCCTGATGGCCAACCAAAGTTACCCTGGTCATGGTGGGTGATGCCTCACAATAGGCAGCCAAGGGCACCTGTGTCTGGGTCTTCCCTGAAGTTAACATTCATAGTTGACAGCTGGGCACCCTGACTAGCCCTCTGCTTGGGTCTATTCCCAGCCCACTTACCCGCCAGCTCAGCTTCCAAACAGTTGGTGGAAAATGCTTAGGATGGGCCTGTCCCTCACAGAAGAGAATCTCAACGAAGAGGCACGGCACACATGCAGGCAGAATGTGGGCAGGAACTGGACCCACAGCAGACTCACTCCAGCCCTATTCTCTGCCTTAGTTACTTTTCTTGTTGCTGAGGCAAAATACCAACAGGCAAAGCTAAGGGAGGAAAATGTATTTGGCTCACAGTTTGTAGAGGTTGGAGTCTATAGTTGGCAGGCTCCAAGGCAGGGTGGCGTGGCTGAGGGGCATAGGAGAGGAGAAACAGTTTATGGCAGACAGAAGGTAGCAAAGCAAGTAAAGAACTTTAGCAGCTTCTGTCTTCCCTTCTTAAACTCACTCTAGGCTACTGGAATTTGGACGTTGCCAAACCGTTGGTCAGCGGATTGATTTAGTAATCACACACCCATAATCCCTGCATCACACATTTTGGATTCAGTCAAAACTGTGCAAAAACCCCACCTAAGACTGTAGGAGGCTCTAGGGGGACACCTAGACACAGGCCATGATACTACCCTAGCCCAGTCGCCAGCGGGACAGCCCCCGTCCCCAGTTAGTATCGTTAACACACAGATGAAATCCAAAGGCATCTTACTGCTCACACCAAGGCTGGTTTTGAACTGTTTCCCAGGAGCCTGTGGAAGCCAGGGGCACATCCTTCAGCACCTAAAGGAGCTGCTCAAAGTTTATAGTTTCATTTTCAGATTCCCTGGGGGCCCTCAGATTCTTAGCAGATTTCCCAGCAGATACACGAACTTGGATGTTCCCCACCTTTGCACCATGCCTCAGTTCCTCCTGGGAATGCAGAACAAAAATGACTGTCAACCCAGCTTCATAGGCTGACCTTTTTAATAATAATAAAAAAAACTACATTCTTTAAGTGGGAAAAGTCCTTAATGTCAGAATGAAAGACAAAATGAATATGATTCCTGGTTTCAGATATTATGTACTAAACAAGGGAGAAAACTGATTTGGTAATGAAAATTAATGTACGTTATCTTTTGCAGGAAAGAAGAATTTCCTTCCTCCCTCATACCTAATGATGGGATTTAGTTTCCTCTTCAAGGTACCCTTCAGCTTTTTTTTTTTGTTTTAAGTTTTCATAAACTTTACCTAAAGTTCCATCAGTAAAAACTATTTTTGTAGGTAGATGAGTCTTGTGTTTGGAGACATCGGGGTGAGCGAAAAGTCAGAGTGCAGGATGAAGACCTGGAGACGCTGGAAAGCTGCACAAGTGAACCTGTATCAGAAGAAATGGAACAACTAGGTAGTTCATGATTTTAATAAATTGTGCTTTTTTTAATTGCCTGGTTTTATGTCTGAATCCTTATGGAGGTGATCATGTTTCTTTTGGGATAACTGATATTTTTGTTTTGTTGAAACAAGGTCTCTGTGTAGTTCAGTCTGCCCTGGACTTCTGTGTAGCCCAGGCTGGCCTCAAACTCACAGCAGTCCTCTTCCCTCAGCCCCCTGAGTGCTGGGATTACTGATGTGTGCCGCCATACCCAGCTTGAAAATTTTTCAAAAACAAAATGCTGTCCGTTTTCCTCACTTTCGTGTTACAGAAATGTGAAATACACTTATTCTAGTGACTTATAAGGTGTTTAATTGGATCTATAACTATAGTATGTCTTTAAGTGGTAAAAATTCTGTGTTTAATGGATAATTCATAAACATTCTTACCAAAGATAAATTGAGGTGTGTGAACTAGCATTTACATTTAGGATCAGCAATTTTTTTTTTTTTTTTTTTTTGGCAGAACTGGGGATTGAACTCAGGCCCTTGCGCTTGCCAGGGAAGCGCGTATTCCACTGAGCCATCTCCCCGGCCCCTAGGATCAGCAATTAGAAATGATTAAAGGATGAATTTATAACAAGCACAATTTCCCATAACAAGAATTTGGGTTAATTTAAACTTATTTGTTTCAAGGAAGAAGCGCTTCTAGTTGCTGGAATAAATTTATCCACTAATCTAAGGAATCTGGAGAATGTATGCCCTTAAGCTACTTTTTAAAATCTTATAGGGTCATTCATTTTTAGGGATGAGTACTGCATTATGTCATGTACAACTGTTGTCTTGTCAGATTCTAATGATTAATGTTCACATTGTTGGTACTGTATTAAGTGCTTTGTGTACAGTGTTTTGAAATTTTCATAAGCATCCTTGAAAGCTGGGTGATGGCATCTTATTCTAGGTGAGGCAACTGGAGCCTGTTATTGCTAGACAGCATTCCTTTTGCCTCAGTATGAGTATTTTTGTGGGGTTTTTTGTTTTGTTTTGTTTTGTTTTTTTGCAGAACCAGGGATTGAACTCAGGCCCTTGCGCTTGCCAGGCAAGTGCTTATTCTACTGAGTCATCTCCCTGGCCCAGTATGAGTAATTTTGATGTGTCAGTTATATCACATATATTAACTCTAATTTTCATTTGAAAATTATAAAAGCTACAGATTTTTAAGACTAGATTTATTGGCTTGCTTTTTGGAAGTATCCAAGAAAGGCAAGTTATGATTTTGATTGTTGAAATGATAGCAATATCTAAGAAATTTATAATAAGAGAATGTCAGGGATCTAATAGTCCAACCTATTTATAATACAGGTTATCTTTTTGTATAAGTCCATGTGGTACCCTTTGGGAATAATCAGGCATATTCTCAGTTATCTTTTAAAGAAGCAGGGAGTTAATGAAATACTTGTCTGAAGTTTTCTAAGAAAATCACTAAGATCATTGTTGGTGGTCTGTGTATACTGACTTTCCTTATATAATTGTACAGATGGAGGTGACACCAGTAGTGAAGAAGATAAAGAGGAATTAGGTGAAGTGCCTGTAGAAACCGAACTCATGACTCATGTTGGCCAAGAGGATGTTACTGTTCAAAGTGGTGTAGATAAAATAAATGTGGAATTAGTCCAGGACGAAAGCTCAGAAGATGAAGGAGAATCTGAAGAGGTTCTGAAAGATCAGGAGCCTGTTGGTGATGTGAATGTTGAAGAGGAATACATAGAGTATCCTGATACTGCCATTGACTTGTCACATCTTCAATCCCAAAGGTAATTAAAAGAATATAATTTCAAGTTTTATTTTCTAAACTTAAAATGATGATAAGGCAATCCTTATAAAGTAATCCAAGATTAACTTCATACTTTTACTCTTGCATTGTTTAATTCTTTTTTCAACATTCAGTTGGGTCTCTCTCTAAAACTTGTAGGACCAGGGTAGAAAAGTACATAAATACAAGAGTGGCCATTATAGATTAAAATACAGACAAGGAAATAAATGGCTCTAACTGCCAATAACATGGCAAATGCAATTCAGTGTTTTAATAATAATTCTGTTTTACTTATAAAGAGGTTTAAGTTTTAATGTCTTACCAATAACCAGATGAACGATCCATAGTTTTAAAAAGCATTAATATTGAATTAATAAAAAATGGCTTAGGGGCCAGGGCTATAGCACATAAGCACCTGCCTGGCAAGTACAAGGTCCTGAGTTCGATCCTCAGTACCAAAAAAAAAAAAAAAAAAGGGCTTAGGAATCAAACAGACCAAAATTCAGTCTTGGAGTAAATCTGTGTGTAGGCTCTAGCTTTGTGCTTGATGAAAATGGAATGGTATCCCTTTCCCAGGATTTTGGTGACAACTTTACGTATTTAATGCATCTAAAGTTTCACCACCTGTCTCTGTTTGAGAATATATAAAAGTGTGGAGAGATTAATGATTTGATTAAATTGTTTTTTCTAATTTTATGAAATTTGAAAGTTTGTAGGATTGCAGGTAATAGAGATTATGACATGAGAATGTTTGAGACTGTAAATGAGTGTTTTTTTTTAGGCTAGTAGACTTATTTCTGTTTTCATAGGTCCCTCCAGAAATTGGCTTCAAAAGAGGAATCTTCTAATTCAGTAAGCTATTTTCAAAATTTTATTTTAAAAAAGCATGCTTTGGGGCTGGGGAGATATCTAAGCACCTGTCCGACAAGTGCAAGGACCAAGGTTTGATCCCTGGTACCACATGCTATGCTGGCCACTGAACGTAGTGCATGCCTGTAATCCCAACTCTGGGGAGGCCGAGACAGGATCATTACGAGTCTGAGCTGCGTAGTGAGACCCTGTACCAAATAAATAAACTTTTTTTTTTCCATAATTTTTAAAATTTTGTTTTGAAAAATTATAAAGATGTTATTATATTTGTTCTTTTGTTTTAATAGAGTGACAATAAATTACAGAGCCGAAGACATTTGTCAGCCAAGGAAAGAAGGTAGGTGACATTTGTGTTTTCTATGTGAAAGCATGTTTTTGTATTTTTTAAAATTGACAGCTCATGCTGGGTGTGGTTGCGCACACTTGTAATCCCAGAACTCTGAGCCTGAGGCTAGGGGATCACTACAACTTCAAGGCCAGTCTGAACTACATAGTAAGACCCTGCCTCAAAAAAACAACCAAAAACAGAAACAAAATTAGCAGCTCAGCTAGTACAGATTAGTTGACTATTCTAAGACATCTTATATTAAAATTACCAAAATTTAGCAAAAGTCTTTAAATTTTGGTATTGAACTCTAATATGCCTTTTGGGTTTAGGGACCTAATCTGTCAAGATTGTAGGAGACAGGTGGAGTAATGAGACAGAACTTTTAGTGAGTAAACAGGTACATGAGTGATTACGGTATATTCAGTAGACAGACTGGTTCTAATGTGGAAATAATTGAAATTAGGAATTCTTTATGTAAACTGTAATTTTAATATTCACAAAAAATTTACTTATTTAATATATGATATCAGGGATTGAGTCCAGGGCTTTATGTATACTAGGCAGGCAAACATTCTTCCTAGGTGAATTTATAACCCCAGTCCTTTTGGGTATGTGTGTGTGTGTATATATATGTATATATGTTTTGTTTGTTTGTTTTGGTTTGGTTTGAGACAGGATGCCACTGTTTAGTGCAGGGTGGCCTCAAACTTTCAGTGATCCTTCTGTCTCAGCCTCCTGAGTACTGGGATTATAGGTGTGTGCCACCACATCCATCTGATTTTTATCTGTTTGTATTCTAATAACAGGTCTCTGGAGGCAGATAGGCAAAGGAAGGGGACTGCTACCAGTAAAGCACTCTTAAGAAAGAGGTCCAGATTGGAATAGATAATAAAACAATTTTTATGTGGGAAAGCCATGAAAGCATTACAAAGCACTCTGTGAATGCAGGACACTGTGCTTGGTACAGAGTGTATAGAGAGGTAAAATGCCAAGTTTACACCTTTAAGAGCTTTTGAGTCCTGGAAATAGTCATTAGTAACCTGAAAGTAATACTTTAGGCATAAGAGGTCACTACTGAGTTGAGATATTTTGGGCAATACCATCAGAAGTACACCTGTGAACCCAGGTACGATGCGTAGGCCTGTAATCCCAGCAGTTGGAGGCTGAGTCAAGAGGACTGCATGTTTGATTCCTACCAGAGCAGCTTTGCAAGAACTTGTATCAAAATAAGAAAGGCCTGAGTACGTAGCCCAGTGGTAGAGTGCCCTTGGGTTTGCTCCTCACTGCCACCCCAGTTCCTAGAAGTGTAGCTTGAAGATAAAATAGCAGTTTGGGACAAGATAAGGAGAGAGACTCCCAGAAAAATTAGCATTAGAGAACACAGGGGAGAGGAATAATATGAATGATGTTTTGGGGACCTGACAAAATAGATTGAGCAGAAAAGAATATGTTTGTGAACTGGTAGATGGTAAGATTTTAGAGGTAAATTTGGACAAGAATTGAGAATTTGGAAGGACAAGCTGAAGATTTAGGACATTATCCTAAAAACAGTTTGAAGAAGATGATTAAAATTGTTAAGTTCAGATAGGACCGCTGATGGTGCTCAGCGAGAGGAGGTGATCAGGACCTGGACTGACGTTCTCAGCTAAGTGAGCATAGCTAGTTGGGTAAGGATGAGCCGAGGGTGGCGGTGTGTTGTTGGCTGATGACAGGTAAGTTCAGGAGATTAAGATTAAACCCAAGCCTGGACCTCAACACATGTGTCACCAGTTCTTTGGAATGTGATACTTTGAGCGTGTTCTTATATTGTAGCCTGGTAGAAGCCGTGTTCTGTATGTATTGCTCGTGTTCCCCATCCTTTTGTAATTTTTTTTATGACACTAAGAATTTGAAGTTCTAAGAATTTAATGCTTTTACTACTTATATTTAGGGAAATGAAGAAGAAAAAGCCTCCAAGTGACTCAGGAGATTTAGAAGTGATAGAAGAAAAGGACAAAGAAAAAGAAAGTAGTATACACAGTGAAACTCATCAGAACACAAGCAAAAGTGTTGCAGGTGTGCAGCCAATGAAGCGAGGACAAAAGGTACAGAACTTTTTGAATGATGTGTTAGCATAGTGTGACTCTCAAATGAAATTGTGAGGCTCTTCTTAACTATTAAGAGTTTAAAAGACGTAGGCAAAAAACAATCCTGCACTCAGGAGGCTGAGGCAGGAGGATTGATCACCAAGGATTTTCAGCCAGCCTGGACCACATAGTGAGACCCTGTCTTCAAAAAGAAAAAGAAAATTAACTGGAAATGTACAGTGTTTAGGGAACACAGGGATCCTAGGATAGGTTCCTTAGAGGTCTAAGATCATTTCCACAGAAGCTCTCATTTTGTGGAGAAGAAGATGCAGTGTGATTTGTGAGTCACCTGCCTCTAGTGAGAGCTGATCTTTTTCTTGTTGTAGTCTGGAGACTGAACCCACAGCCTTGTTTATGCGGGACAAGCACTGTGTCCTGGAGCTGTAACTCCAGCCTCATAGCTGGTCTTTGACATTTGCTCATTTCTTTTTCACCTGTCAGCAGGAGTTTGAAGTCTTGTTTCCTTTTTTTGAGGCAAGGCTCCACTATGTAGTGCAGGTTGGCCTTGAACTCAAGATAATCCTCCTGCCTCAGCCTCCCAGGTGCTAGAATTATAGGCATGTGTCACCATACCTGTGACAGAGTTCTTGATTAAGTATGAATATATGTGAATATAACGTGTGTGTGTGTGTGGAGAGAGAGAGAGAGGTAGTAGATAGAGCATGTACCTTTTTTGTTTGGTACTGGGAATTAAACCCTGGATCTAGTGCTGTGCCACTGAGCCATATACCCCCAGCCTAGAATATACTTCTTATAATGCTGTATAGGCCAGGCACAGTGCATATTCACATAATCCCAATTAGTAAGCTGATGCAAGAGGGTTGCAAGTTCAAGGCCAGGCTGAGCATCTCAGCAACATGCTAACTGGAAAGACGTTTTTAAAGGGCTGGGGGGGCTGGAGAGATGGCTCAGTGGTCTAAAGCACCTACTTGGAACAAGCTTAGCAAAGCATCAGGGACCACGGTTCAATCCCCCAGCACCACATGCCAGCCAGCCCCGCCCCCTGGTGGGCTGAGCTGGCCACACACACACACCTCTCTCTCTCTCTCTCTCTCTCTCTCTCTCTCTCTCAAATAAATAAAAATAAAAAAAAATAAAAATAAAAAAATTAAAAAAAAAATAAAGGGCTGGGGATGTAGGTCAGTGGCATAGTGCTAGCCTAGTGTGAATAAAGCTGTGGGCTCCATCTCCATCAGCAAAATAAAATAAAAAATAAATTTTGATTGAGCTAGGACTTACTTTGGCCATGCTGGGACCCAAGCCTGGGCCTTACACCTGCTAAGGTACTGTACCACTAAGCAACATACCCATCCCAATTTGTAGTCTTTTTTCTGTAATGTATTTAATTTAGTACAGGGTCTTCAGGGTTTCACTGCATAGATCAGATTCATAATGATCCTCTAGTTTTTAGCCTTCCAAGCACTGGGATCACAGGTATGCACCACCATGTTCAGTCTTTTTTTTTTTTTTTTTTTTTTTTTGGCAGAACTGGGGATTGAACTCAGGCCCTTGCGCTTGCCAGGGAAGCGCTTATTTCACCTAGCCATCTCCCCAGCCCAACCACGTGTCCAGTCTTATTCTCGGTCTCAGTGTGCCCTGGGGGCAGGGCAGCACCGCATGGGGATCAAACCCTGGTCCCCTAGCGCTTGCCTCAGCAGGTGCTTTATAGCCCGCTGAGCTATCTGGCTGCCCCCTAGTTTGTAGTCTTAAGAACCTCTCCAGTATGTGCCTAGCCTTGCCCTGCTATTTGTTTTGTGTTCTTCCTCTTATGTGGACTAGGATTCCAACCAAATATAGTGACTTCTTGTTAGCTCTTTACCTTTCTACTCTTCTTTGTCCTATATTCTCAAATCCTGTAACAGGTACTTTAGAAGAAATTTGAAGTGGGCACGGTGGTGCGTACATGTGATCCCCATACTCTGAAGGCTTAGGCAGGAGGACAAAGGTTTCAAGGCCAGTGTGGTCTACACAGTAAGACCTAGTCGCAAAAAAAGCAAACCAGAGCAACTCTTTAAAGTTTCACTTTTTTCTCTGTAATTCCCATAAACTTGAAAATAAGTCTCCTTTTTCTAAATTATCTTACAAATATTTCATTTGTGTGTTTCCTGCATAACCACACCTGACTTAGGCTCCAACACATCTGGCCTTGTGACTTCTGTATGTGTCTTTTCTCTATCATATGGTAAATTCATCAAGGGTAAGTGAGGTTCATGCACCTTTGTGCTCTCCATAATTTTCATTAGTGAAATTGGTGCCATTTTCAGGTGGTCTTTTTTTTTTTTTTACCCTATAATTCAACCCAAAATATTATATTGATCTACATCCCAGCCCTTATTTGTTTGTTGATTTGCTTTTGAGATGGATTATCTTGGTTGTTTCCTTTTTTAGAGAGGGTATTGATAAGTCCCTCCTGCCTCAGCCTTAGAGGAGGTATGCATCACCCTGCCCAGCTCAGAAACATTTGTGTGTGTGTGTGTGTGTGTGTGTGTGTGTGTGTGTGTATGTGTGTGTGTGATATTATTCCTTTTTTCCCCCATAATTTTATTGATAAATAGCAAAGAGACAGTTTCAAATCAAATTGGTAAGACTCAGAAACATTTTTGAGAGAATTTTAAAAGTGCCTTTTTTGCTAGGGAGATACCTCAGTGGCATAAGCACCTGCCTGGCAAGTGCATGGTCCTGAGTTCAATCCTGAGTGCCCCCCCTCCCCAAAAGTGCCCTTTTTTCACAAATATTTGAATTTTTTATTGCTGAATTTTTCCAAATCTTTTTCATAGAGTAAAATGAAAAAAATGAAGGAAAAATACAGAGATCAGGATGAAGAAGATCGTGAACTTATTATGAAATTGCTTGGGGTGAGTAATATATCTAAGAGCATTTCTTTTGCTTTTCCATGGGCATCCAGCCTATCCCTGGTCATACATACTCACTAAAATTTTAACAGTACTCATAATAACCAACATTAATTAGTTTTTACCTCTTTGTGAATTAGTCTGCAGGTTCAAGCAAAGAAGAAAAAGGCAAGAAAGGGAAGAAAGGAAAAACAAAAGATGAGCCTGTAAAGAAGCAGCCCCAGAAGCCCAGAGGTGGACAGAGGGTTTCAGAGGGCATGAAGAAAGAGCCTCCAGCCCCAGCCCTTGAGGGCTTAACTCATGAGCTACAAGACTTAGCTGTAGATGATGCGCACGAGGACAAGGTAAGGCTGCCACATTGGGGCGCGACCAACCACCCAGGGCTTGAGGGTCAAGACACAGGGTGCTGAGACCAGCATAAATGACAAGCCGCTTGTTAATGGCAAATCATCTTTGCAATATGAGAGAGTAAAATTACAGTACCTAAACATACTGATCCTGGCTGATAAAAAGTATATCCTGTCTTTATAATATCATCTTTCCTACCAGTATGTTCTCTCTTGCATGTGGCCCACCCTCACCATAGTGGGTACTGTTTTTGTTGTTGTTGTTGCTGGCAGAATTGGGGATTGAACTCAGGCCCTTGCACTTACCAGGCAAGTGCTTATTCTATTGTACGATCTCCCCAGCCCCAAGGTGTACTACTTTTCCTTGGCCCAAACTCATTCTGCAGAGCCTGGTTTTTTTTCCTTTTAATAAAACCTTGGTTTAAAAACAAAATCAATTTTCTAGAGTGCCTTTATTTGATTGTCATGGGAGCTTAGTTAAAATCATACCAAGATTTGGGACTATCTTAAAGATAGAATTTTCGGGGGCCTGGCCTTAGCTCAGTTGTTTAAGTGGCTGCTTCCACAAAGCTGTCAGCCTCAGGTTGCTGTAGTTCGATCCCCACAACACTCCAGCCAGCCAAA